GTGTGTGGAGTGTGTGGGGTGTGTAGGAGTGTGTGGGGTGTGTGGGGTTGTGTGGGGTGTGTGGGGTCGGTGGGGTGTGTGGGGTGTGTGGGGTGTGTGGGGTCGGTGGGGTGTGTGAGGTGTGTGTGTGTGTGTGGGTGGGGGGGGGTTGGGGTGTGGGGTGTGTGGGGTGTGGGGTGTGTGGGGTGTGGGGGGTGTGGGGTGTGCGGGGTGTGTGGTGTGTGTGTGTTTCTGTCTGTCTGTCTGTCTGTCCGCCTGTCCGTCTGTTTGTCTGTCTGTCTGTTTGTCTGTCTGTCGGTCTGTCTTTATGTATGTGTGTCTGTCTCTGTGCGTGCGTGCGTGCGTGTGTTTGTGCGTGTGCGTGTGGGTAGGCGTGCGCGTGAGCGTGGGCGTGTGAGCGTGCGTTTGCGTGTGCGGGTGCTTGTGCGTGTGGGTGTGCGTGTGTGTACGTGTACATGTGCGTGTGCGTGTGTATGCATGGAGTTTTCTAGGATGTAGGGATGTACGGATTCATGTATTCATGTCTTTTCGTGTGTATTCATGCATTCATTCATTATGTATGGATTCGTGTATGTAATGAGTATGCGTTTGTATGTTTACTGTTGTGATTATATGCTCATGTTTCATATATGTATGTAGTGATTGTGCTATTTATGTACATCTAGATGTATTTGGTTGTGTATAGATGTATGTCATTATGTATTTGTGTATATATGTGAGTGTTTGTGTGTTTATTCATTATATCATGCATGTGTGCATTAATCTATTGATCGAGCTTGAGCTGAGATCGACACTGGTTCTAACGCCTGACTGCCGCAACGGCGCACTCTCGCAAAGGAGGGCAGCGCGCACGGAGCCGGAGGCTGGACGCGGGTCGCAAAGAGGTCAGTGCGCGCATTATGAGGCGCTCTTGGCAGAACCCGCGCGAGGTCTCGCCCGCGGGGGCAGCCGCGGAGAGGAGGGGGGTTGAGAAGCGGTATTGCCAGCAGGGAGCTGGTCGAGATGAGGGTCCGCCGTCCGCGCGAAATCGATTCGCGCGAAAACTGCGGGCCGTTCGAAAGAAATCCGCTGGGCGCGCGCGCGCGAAAAGAACACAGGGCATCCCAGAAGATGGCGGGAACCATGATTTTGGAGAAGTCGAGGCTGGAAAACCCCCGAAATTCCGGTTCCCGGCTCTGTCTGGCGCCCCAGGGACCCACGGCGGCCCCGAGGATGGCGGGAACCATGCTTTTGGAGAGATCCAAGCCGGAAAAGCCCGAAATCGTGGTTCCCGGCTCTGTGTTCTGTGCTCTCTGCTGCCCTGTGCTCTCTCTGCTGCTCTGTACTCTCTGCTGCTCTGTGCTCTCTGCTGTTATGTGCTCTCTGCTGCTCTGTGCTCTCTGCTGCTCTGTGCTCTCTGCTGCTCTGTGCTCTTTTTGCTGCTCTTTGCTCTTTGCTGCTCTGTGCTCTCTGCTGCTCTGTGGTCTCTGCTGCTATGCGCTCCCAGGGCCCCGCAGCCCAGAGGATGGCGGGAACCATGATTTTGGAGAGATCGAGGCTGGAAAAGCTCAAGTCCTCATGGACTTTCTAGCACAGGTGCGATCCGAGCAGTCAGCAGCAGCCCCAGCGCGAACCGACTGCCCACGAAAGCAGGATGACCCATGCGCTTAAACAACCTTAGCATGAAAGATGCCGAGCGATGGTGAAACAGCACGAGAGCTAGAACAATGCAAAACGACACGCTGGTGGCCAAGAAAATCGCAGTCGGTCGATGCTGCAGATCGCGCTGGGAGGACGAGACCGCTGGGTGGCGGAGCGGTGCAGGCTGGCACATCGCCGCCACTCCGCGTCGTAGCGGTCTAGTCCCCGAGAGCGTGCAGAGAGTACCCCCCGCCCCCAGGCTCTGTCTGGCGCCCTAGGGACCCAGGGCAGCCCAGAAAATAGCGGTAGCCAAGATTTTGGAAAGATCGAGGCTCGAAAAGCCCGAAATCCCGGTTCCCGGCTCTGTTTGGCGCCCCAGGGACCCACGGCGGCCCCGAGGATGGCGGAAACCGAAGCGGGAACCATGATTTTGGATAGATCGAGGCCGGAAAAGCCCGAAATCATGGTTCCTGGCTCTGGCTGGCGCCCCTGGGACCCACGGCGGCCCCGAGGATGGCGGGAACCATGATTTTGGAGAGATCCAGACCGGAAAAGCCCGAAATCATGGTTCCCGGCTCTGGCTGGCGCCCCTGGGACCCACGGCGGCCCCGAGGATGGCGGGAACCATGATTTTGGAGAGATCCAGGCCAGAAAACCCGAAATCATGGTTCCCGGCTCTGGCTGGCGCCCTGGGACCCACGGCGGCCCCGAGGATGGCGGGAACCATGATTTTGGAGAGATCCAGGCCGGAAAAGCCCGAAATCGTGGTTCCCAGCTCTGGCTGGCGCACCTGGGACCCACGGCGGCCCCGAGGATGGCGGGAACCATGATTTTGGAGAGATCCAGGCCGGAAAAGCCCGAAATCGTGGTTCCCAGCTCTGGCTGGCGCCCCTGGGGCCCACGGCGGCCCCGAGGATGGTGGGAACCACGATTTTGGAGAGATCCAGGCCGGAAAAGGACGAAATCGTGGTTCCCATTGGCTGGCGCCCTGGTGCCCACGGCGGCCGAGGACTGGCGGAACCACGATTTTTGGAGGAGATCCAGGCGGGAAAAAAAAAAAACCCGGAAATGTGGTTCCCGTACTGGCTGGCGCCCCTGGGACCCCCGGCGGCCCCGAGGATGGCTTGGAACACGATTTTGAGAAATCCAGGCGGAAGAAAAGCCCAAATCGTGGTTCCAGCTCTGGTGGCGCCCCTGGGACCCACGGCGGCCCCGAGGAAGGCGGGAACCATGATTTTGGATAGATCCAGGCCGGAAAAGCCCGAAATCATGGTTCCCGGCTCTGGCTGGCGCCCCTGGGACCCACGGCGGCCCAGAGGATGGCGGGAACCATGATTTTGGAGAGATCCAGGCCTGAAAAAAACCGAAATCTATGGTTCCCAGCTCTGGTGGCGCCATGGCCCACGGCGGCCCCGAGGAAGGCGGTGGAACCAAGATTTTGGAGAGATCCAGGCCGGAAAAACCCGCGGAAATCGTCGTTCCCAGCTCTGGCTTGGCGCCCTGGGACCCACGGCGGCCCGAGGATGGCGGGAACCACGCGATTGTGGAGATATTCCCGAGGATGGCGGGGAACACGTTTTTGGAGAGGATCCAGGCCGGAAAAAACCAGAAATCGTGGATCCGCTCTGGCTGGGCGCCCCTGGAGCCCACGGCGGCCCGGGATTGCATTGGGAACACGATTTGGAAACGATCAGGCCGAAAAAGCCCGAAATGTGGTTCCCAGCCGCGCTGGCGACCATGGTAGCCCGCGCGCGGTGGGGGATGGCGGGAGGGAACACGATTTTTGGAGAGATCCAGGCCGGAAAAGCCCGAAATCGTGGTTCCCAGCTCTGGCTGGCGCCCCTGGGACCCACGGCGGCCCCGAGGATGGCAGGAACCAGGATTTTGGAGAGATCCAAACCGGAAAAGCCCGAAATCGTGGTTCCCAGCTCTGGCTGGCGCCCCTGGGGCTCACGGCGGCCCCGAGGATGGCGGAAACCACGATTTTGGAGAGATCCAGGCCGGAAAAACCCGAAATCGTGGTTCCCAACTCTGGGCTGGCCCTGGGGACCCACGCGGGCCACCGAGGATGGCGGGAACCACACGATTTTTGAGAGATCCAGGCCGGAAAAGCCCGAAATCTGTTCCCAGCTCTGGCTGGCGCCCCTGGGACCACGGCGCCCCGAGGATGGCGGGAACCACGATTTTGGAGAGATCCAGGCCGGAAAAGCCCGAAATCGTGGTTCCCAGCTGTGGAAGGCGCCCCTGGGACCCACGGCGGCCCCGAGGATGGCGGGAACCACGATTTTGGAGAGATCCAGGCCGGAAAAGCCCGAAATCGTGGTTCCCAGCTCTGGCTGGCGGCCCTGGGACCCATGGCGGCCCCGAGGATGGCGGGAACCACGATTTTGGAGAGATCCAGGCCGGAAAAGCCCGAAATCGTGGTTCCCAGCTCTGGCTGGCGCCCCTGGAATCTACGGCGGCCCCGAGGATGGCGGGGACCACGACTTTGGAGAGATCCAGGCCGGAAAAACCCGAAATCGTGGTTCCCAGCTCTGGCTGGCGCCCCTGGGACCCACAGCGGCCCCGAGGATGGCGGGAACCACGATTTTGGAGTTCTCTGCTGTTCTGCTGCTGCTCTCTGCTGCTCTCTGCTGCTCTCTGCTGTTCTGCTGCTGCTCTCTGTTGTTATGCTGCTGCTCTCTGCTGTTCTGCTGCTGCTCTCTGCTGTTCGCTGCTGTTCTGCTGCTGCTCTCTGCTGCTCTCTGCTGTTTTGCTGCTGCTCTGCTGCTGCTCTCTGCTGTTCTCTGCTGTTCTGCTGCTGCTGTCTGCTGTTCTGCTGCTGTTCTCTGCTGTTCTCTGCTGTTCTGCTGCTGTTCTCTGCTGTTCTCTGCTGTTCTCTGCTGTTCTCTGCTGTTCTCTGCTGTTCTCTGCTGCTCTCTGCTGCTCTCTGCTGCTCTCTGCTGTTCTCTGCTGCTCTCTGCTGCTCTCTGCTGTTCTCTGCTGCTATCTGCTGTTCTCTGCTGCTCTCTGCTGTTCTCTGCTGTTCTCTGCTGTTCTCTGCTGTTCTCTGCTGTTCTCTGCTGTTCTCTGCTGCTCTCTGCTGTTCTCTGCTGTTCTGTTCTCTGCTGTTCTCTGCTGTTCTCTGCTGTTCTCTGCTGTTCTCTGCAGTTCTCTGCTGTTCTCTGCTGTTCTCTGCTGTTCTCTGCTGCTCTCTGCTGTTCTCTGCTGTTCTCTGCTGTTCTCTGCTGTTCTCTGCTGTTCTCTGCTGTTCTCTGCTGTTTTCTGCTGCTCTTTGCTGCTCCCTGCTGCTCTGGATTGGTTTTCGCTCGGTTGGTTTTCGCTTGAACGGATTACCTTTTCGCTCGAACGAGCGTCTTTTCGCTTGAACGATCCACCCTCGGTCGAGATAGGGGAGCGCGCGGAACAGGGAGGAGGACGAGAAGGAGGACGAGGAGGAGGACGAGGAGGACGAGGAGGAGGAGCAGGAAAAGGAGGAGGAGGAAAAGGAGGAGAAGGAAGAGGGAGAAAGAGGAGAAGGAGAAGGAGGACAAGACGGAGGAGGAGGAGAACCAGACGGAGGTGCCAGAACGTCATGTTTGGGTTTTCAACACCGCGAATCAACATAACTGTTGCACCCGCAGAATACTGAATCCTTCCAAAACCGAATTTCTGGCACGCTGATCATGGGAATCCGTGAAATTCTTCCGAGCTTTTGATACGAATGCGCGCGGCGCTAAGGCGAGAGCCACATTTTGAGAACGACCCGCCCTCAATTCGCGAAACTCATGCAAATGTTTAACAAAGAATGTGCGCGGAGCTACAGCGAGAACCACATTTTGAAAACCACCCGCCCTCAATCCGTGAAGCTTTTGCAAATCCCTACACCGAATGTGCGCGGCGCTGAAACGAGAACCACATGTTGAAAACCACTCGCCCTCAATCCGTGAAACTCTTGCAAATGTTTAACACGAATGCGCGCGGCCCTAAAGCGAGCCACATTTTGAAAACCACCCGCCCTCAACCCGTGAAACTCTTGCATATGCTTAACACGAATGCGCGCGGCCCTAAAGCGAGACCCACATCTTGAAAACCACCCGCCCTCAATCCGTGAAGCTCTTGCAGATGTTTACAACGAATGCGCGCGGCGCTAAAGCGAGAGCCACATTTTGAAAACCACCCGCGCTGAATTCGTGAAGCCCTTGCAAATGTTTAAAACGAATGTGTGTGGCGCTAAAGCGAGAGCCACATTTTGAAAACCACTCGCCCTCAATCGGTGAAATTATTGCATATGTCTGAAATGACTGTGCGCGGCGCTAAAGCGAGAGCCACATTTTGAAAACCACTCGCCCTCAATCGGTGAAATGATTGCATATTTCTAAAACGACCGTGCGCGGCGCTAAAGCGAGAGCCACGTTTTGAAAACCACCCGCCCTCAATCCGTGAAACTCTTGCAAATGTTTGAAACGTATGCGCGTGGCGCTGAAGTGAGAATTACATCTTGAAAACCACCCGCCCTCAAGCCGTGAAGCTCTTGCAGATGTTTACAACGAGTGCGCGCGGCGCTAAAGCGAGAGCCACATTTTGAAAACCAACCGCCCTCCATCGGTGAAGCTGTTGCCACTTTTTAAGCTTCAGAATCATCACTGGTGAGAAAGTCTCAGGCGAAACGCCCGGCCCGCCCTAAAAGCTGGCCTCGGGGTGCGACAGGGAGAAATTATCGATCAGGAAAAGGAATGGAGGAGGAGGAGGAGGAGGAGGAGTAAACGGCAAGGAGGAAACGAAGCCCGCGCGCCGTTCGGTAGATCAAACCTCCACAGCTGCACGTGGTGCGACACATTGCCCTCCCCACCCGCGCCACGCCGGAGGGAAAAACCACGGCCACAATTTCTCCGAGGTCCGCGCGGATCCCTGTCATCGGCGCTGGGCCCCCCTCCCTGGCACGCGGAGCGCGCCGGGAGCGCCGCTGGAGGAGCCGCCGAGGGGGGCCCAGCGAGGGGGGAGCGGAGGAACAGAGGCCCGCCCCGCCAGACGCGCGCCGCCGCTCCTCTCCCTCGCCGCGGCCCCGCCGCTCCCGCCGCCGTCCGCGGCCATGTCCCCGCAGTGGCGCTTTGGCAGGCGGGGCGCATGCCGTCCTGCTGCTGGCTTGCACAGTGGAGGCCAGTCCACAGGAAGCCTGCCACAGGAAACCCAGCCCTGAGACCCCAGGACGTCCACCGATGTTTAGCGCGTTGGGAGCGTCGCGCTGTCCATCGCAGAGCCATCGAAACCCGGGAAACCCAGGGCACCCCGGAGGCGAGCAGGGTGCTTCGTGGCAGGGGCCTCCACTGTAGGAGATTCTGAGGGGCCCCGCCTCCCCTGTCCCAAAAAGTCCCGGGGGCTCCCGAGCGTTCCAGGAGCGTGTCGGCGCGCGCCGGGGCGAGCTCCAGGGACGTCCAAGCGCTTCAAAGCGCGCCCCAAGAGGGCAATCCAAAAGGGCCCCGGGTCGCCCTGGACCGCTCCAAGACGCCCAAAGCGTCCCCAGGACGCCCGAGAACACCTCCAGAGGCCTCCCGAGAGGGCCCCGAAAGGGCCCCAGGACGGACAACTCGAACTGACACTTCGCGCCCTCCGTTCTGAGGTAACCCCCGAGACCGCCAGCAGGCCCCCAAGAGGCCCCACCAGCAGCCGCAGGAGCCCCCCAGAAGCCCGAGAGGTCCCCAAGAGGACCCGAAGAGGCTCCAAGACAACCCCAATACCTCCTCCAAGAGGCTTCCAGGGAGCCTCCCAAAAGATCCCCACGCAGTGGCGGGATGGGCCGAAGGCCACTAGAGCCGCCGCCCCCTGTTACAAGGGGATTTGGCGTGCCGATTGTTTTACTGTTCGGGGCCTTTTTTGCGAACACTTCAGCCTTCGGCCCAA